CTTAATCACATAACGAGCATCTTTGAATGTCTGAGTTTCTTCTTTCAATCTTGAAACAATATTTGGTGCTTCTTTGAAGAATTTCGCTCTTTCAGCAGAATTTAGTGTTCCGAGTATATCTCTCATTATTTCATTAAAATCCATGAATCCATGAAATCCGTCCCCCTTGAATCTCTTTTCATATTTTCTTTCCTCAGATTCAACCATAACCCCTTCTGTTCTATCATCAAATCCAATTGGTTTCATCAGTTCTTTTTGGTTTTGATCTTCTGTGGGCATCAAAGGGAGTGAAGAGATGAATTGATTTGTCTAGGTTATTATATTTGAGAAGTATTAAATTTCAACAAAAAGGAAACTGACTAAACTATTCGGTTGGGAAGTATGAAACTTCGCAAATTTCCTTTCACTCCTATTTTCTTATTTTACCATAAAAATCACTAAAATTTCCATGGTTTGTGTAGAATTCTTGGGATTACCAAGTATTCAACCTTGGAAATTTTCTGTGAAAAAATAGCTGAGAACGGCCGGATTGAAGTTGACTTATGTTCCAATGCCATGTAAATCCGTTTTCCATCACTAAAGTTCTTCCTTCTTTCAAAATATACAGGGGAAGCCTTAAAATAGTGAACCTTGAAATTCCAGCAAATTTCGTGGTTCAACAACGAGTAAAAGACTGCAGAAAGGCATGTTATTTGTAGAAAGGCATTTCATATTTGGGTAATTGAACCAAACATAGACGGCCGTATGCCAGAGAGTGGTCGTGTAGGCAGTTTTCACTCACGGGACGTTTTTGGAGATTTTTGCCCACAGGTCGGCGTGAAAATCATGACCAAGAAGCGCTTTTCTAATTGTTTTAAACATGAATTTTGCTGAAATTTGAAGGTCATTTTGAAGGTTATTTTAAAGTTTCCCCTGTATATTGTGAAAGAAAAAAGATCTTTAGTGATTAAACAAGGTTTTACATGGCATGTGAACATAAGTCAACTTCAATCCGGCCGTTCTCAGCTATTTTGCCACAAAAGATTCTGAAACTTTAATACTTGGTAGTCTTACGAATTCTGCAAAAAACCTGAAAATTCTATTCATCATAATGGTAAATAAGTGAAAGGAAATTTGCGAGGTTACATATTTTCCAACTCAATTTAATAGTAAACGAGAAATTCAACTTCTTTCAGGAAAGCTTACTTTTTGTGTCTGTTTGAGGAAATCCAAAACTTGAGAAGCTGTTGGACGATAAATACGTTGAAAATTAGTACATCTGATAGATGGATTCTTAAAATATAAAGGAAAATCTTGAATCCAAACCTAGAGATGATCTCTTCAATCTCTGATTGACATTCAGGTGGTTCGATTTCAGTAACACGTTTGAGTGCAATATCAATCAATAATTGCTCACGATCAAAGAAGATTTGATCGTGACCTAACATCTCATAGTTTTTGAAAATGGTTCTAAAACAATAACAATGTTGTTTTGAAATCTTATTATTATCTCAAAGGAGGTCACTATTTCAACCTGAATACCTCCTTTCGATGATTTCCCACATAACAAGTCCCAGACTGTAAACATCATTTCGATGGGAATTCTGGAATGAATGTATCTTATCATTTGATAGAAATGAATGCAAAACTAACCGATACATCAGCCTCCTTTATTTGTTCATAAACATTCCGTTTTACCCCATCCTCTTTCATTTCAGGTGGACTCATATATCGTTGTGTCCCAACAAAAGTCCCCGTAACAGTTCCATTTTCCACTACTTTTACCAATCCGAAGTCACCAATCTTCAGCTGGTATTCATTGGTCACAAAAATGCTATAAATGAATTCAACTTCGACATTTATACCACTGAATATTACTTATCTCGTTTGATATCTCGATGTACCCGATTTCCTTTCTGATACATGTGACGAATCGCACCAAATAATTGGATTCCCCAGGTGAGAACAGTGTTCATTGAATAGTTGATTGTTGGGTTGAAAATTACTAAACTGTAAACTTAAAGAATAAAATTTTAATCTCAACCGTCTCTGAGGGATCCCTTCTGACAATATTCCATTATAATCCCCAATTTCTCTCCATTCTCTTCTATAGAAAACATGCTCACTGCATTTGAATGATGAATGGTCTCCAATGCTTTACATTCATTCTTGAACATCTCACGATCTTTGTCATTTGTGCGCACTATGTACTTGATCACAGCTGGGCCAAACAAAGAAGCTTATGGTACAATACAACCTCTAGAAAAGACTAAATATGGAACATAGCAGTGAATAGATCAAAAATAACCAACGTTTCGTGTCCAATCAATTCATACACTTCTCCAAATGCTCCTTTCCCAATAAGCTTTCCCAATTCAAATTTCTTGGATGTTGTCATTTCCACAGATAAGGCTTGAACCTAAACAACTAATGAATGAAAGTTGATATAAAAAGATGAAATGAAAACTAGAAAAGCCACTAAAAGGTGAGTGGAAAAACTTTTGCAAGAAAGGGATGCCTTATCTCTTTCTTCTCTCCACTGTATTCCCATATTGATTGATTCTGGGCTTTGGGAAAAGGAGAGGGATTTGATAACAATCAACTGAGTCTCATTAGTTCATTCAATACTTTTGATTTTCTTGAATTTGACTTTAGTTCCAGAGGATCTCGAGAACTCTACTAACAATAATCACAACAAAATCTAGTTTCTAGATATAAATCTAGTCAACAAAAAAATATTCTTGGGCTGCGTTTGAAAAGAGTCAAGGTCTTGAACAAAGCCTCATCTCTCGTTTTTATTCACTGGCCATTTCAAATTGCCACTTTGATTCTGAATCTCTCTTTTTGAAGCTGTCTTTGTTCAACGAAGGAAACGAGAAGGAGAATTTACATGAAAAGAATATTTATGAAATATTTGAATTGTTTGTTTTGGGAGATTTTCAACAACCGCTTCGGCAGGAAAACCACGCTTTGGTATGGCTTAAAAATCACGAGGAGATTTGGATATCAAGTTTTCAAAATCGGGGGTTGTGTGAGTTTTGGATTAACAATTTGAAAGAAAGAAAAAGAGAGAAATACACAACAAATTTCTATTTTCGATGTTTCATTTCACAATTGACTGGTGAACGATGGATTCATATAAGCGGGAATTTATTTACAAGTGAAGACTTAAGATTATGGAAACGAATACCAGGACAATGGGCAGACAATCCAAGAGCTGAAATCATGAGCTATGAAATTGAAAATGAAGGCAAGAAACATGAAACGTTTCATTTTTCCTATTACAAACAAATCCCTCTTGAACGAATGATTAAGGCATTTAAAAAACCACAAAAAAGAATGGAAAATATCATAAAAACATACTTGAAATATCTAATTCCAATAGAAGATTTGGAGAGGAATAATGTTCCATTTAATGTTGAATCACTTCTCGACGAATCTTCTGAATAAAAAAGATTTAAAAGAGCTTATGGACCCTATCCCTTCCCGCACTACATATTCCAATTAAGAAATCCTCCTCGTCCAATTTGTCAAAAGAATCATTCGGGGAAATGCCAAATGGATGGGTTTAGAAAGATGAAGGGAGGGTACTCAACTTTACCTAAAGAATTGCACACTCCAGTATGTGGTAAAATCACGGAAAATGAGGTTTTGCTTCTGGAAAGTTACATGAATTGTATAGAATCTGATGGAGATCTAACTTTTCGTCGGGTGATACACCCATTTCTATTTCTTTGCTGTCAAGACCTCTTAGATATTCCATTTCAATGTCAAATGGATGGGTTTAGAAAATTCGAAAGATGGTTATTACCTAAAGATTTACCTAAAGAATTGCACATTCCGGTATGTGGTGAAATCACGGAAAATGAGGTTTTATTTTTGGACACTTACATGTATTGTATAAGATCTGATAGAGATCCGGCTCTTTATTTCATTAAACACCCATTTCTATTTCTTTGCTGTCAAAATCTCTTAGATATTCCATTTTTTGTTTCTCTTGTATCATCCAAATAATTATGAAAATGCGGAAATTATTCCTGGATTTGATTTCAAGAGGAAACTTCATAATATTGATGTTGGAATATTAAGAGAATACTTTCAAGAGTCAAAGTTCAATTAGAGGGTCTATGTTTTGATCAAGGGTGGGAAATGGACACCCTGCATCCACTTGATTGATTATGAAGGGAATCCAAAAACACAATGGCTTGACTTTTCGGAATTCGGCTTACTATAGCCAATTCACTAACCAACAGGAGGTGAGAATCAGTAGTTGAAAAGAGAATCTGAAAAGAAAAATATAAAGAAGTTACTCAAAAAGAAAGAAAAAAGATTTATTGCTCTATATCCTAGCCCTAGTCTTACCGGCTCCACAATTTTCAGATTTTTTATTCTCCGTGTCTAACTTTTGAACTCTACCTATCTTTATGCCTCTTTTTTTTTCTTTTTCTTCGAATGAATAAAGTATTTATCCAAATAAAATGTTCTTCATTCTTGAAATGTTCACAAAACCCACCATAAAACGTACCTCCTGCCCCTTATCATTAATAAATGCAATTTTCAGATGAACACACACAAATAAGAGAAAGCTTGTAAACCAGATTTTCGCCAAAAGGAGAATTGGAATGAAACTTTTATAATCTTCATAAACATTTTCAAATTCATTTTGAAAGATTAAACATAGTAACTAAACCGACTCGGCTTAGTCACCCAGCCCATGTACTTTCTGCTCAATGTAAACGCACTGCTTTTATTGCACTGGTTTCTTCGTTTTTTGCCATAAAAACAAGTCTCTTCTCCAAGAAAAAATGAAGAATTCAGTGGGATGTGTTTAGAGATTTTGAGTATAAAGTACACGTGACCAAGATAGCTCCAAAACCAACCAAAAAAGCTAGGATTTACATTCAACTAAGATGAGAAACGAAAAAAAGCTTGGGTGAGTGAAAATATTAGGTTGTCCAATTATAAATGCGCGTTTTTAAGGTAACAACTCTTTATTTTAAAACCAACAGTTTAACAGCTCAATCAACAATATATTCACCATTTGTTAACAATATTTGTTTCCATCTTCCATGCAAAGAATGAATTCCCTCGGCGTAAAAATTGGCTTGTTTTATGGCAAGGAAGTCGGCTAACCATTTTTCGACCTCTTGAACATCTTTGAACTTGTTTCCAGCCAAATGGTTTCGGATTGAGCGAAATAAATGGTAATCCGAAGGAGAAATATCCGGAGAATATGGCGGGCGCGGGAGAGTTTCCCAGCCCAACTCTTCGAGTTTTTCCTGAACAATCTTTGCAACGTGTGGACGGGCGAGCCTGGTTAACTGTTCACTCCTTCCGGTTGTTGTGTATACGTTTCACCCGTGATTGCATGTCCAGGTATAAGCAGCTAAAAATAAACAATGCCTTGGGAATTCCACCAGACAGCACCTTGCTAATATAGGGAACCAAAATAAAATAAGAAAACCACATCGGGAATACAGCTGAATGACCGGAGAGAGTCCAGAGCCGCTTCCAAGAAAAACAAAACTTGGCTTCATCTTCCGCGGACAATACTTCTTCCGGTTCGATAGTTGCGGCGTGGCTTCTGCTTTCCAAGCGGTGACATAAACTCGTCCTTTCAAAATTGCCCAAAAATCTTCATCAATCAAACCGAGCCTCTGGCAGCCCCGAGCTATCTTCCTTAGCCACGTAATTTACGTTCTGCTGATGCAAGTGCTGCATCACAACTTCTGCGTAGTGTGAGTTAGCTTTATCCGGCCAAAACGCGTAGTTGTTGCTGTAGTTGGCTCGGATACAAGGAATCAAACGCTTCCTGATGCACTCCTCTAGGCCTAGATTATCCATTGTCTTCCTTAAGGCAGCTTTTTTGCGTTTGTTCATCTTTCTGACGGAGTCACCGGATCTTGTCTGACAAACTGCAGGCAAGTTGACTTCGAAACGGTTGAGAATGCGATAAACAGTTTCTTTGAGCACTCCTAGCTTTGAGCACTACACATCTCCCACACACGAAAAGAAATTTCTGACCCTTATTTTTTGAGTCTAAGAATAAATGTTCATTTCAATTCAATTATCAAGTCAAGTATGTCAAGTTCATTTATTGGTACTCCTTCTTTTTTTTGCTTGCTTGGATATTTCTCAATTTTACAAACTTCCCTTTTTCTCTGCGTTTAGTAATAACATATCAATGAGAGTAAGAAAGTTATTTTACTATGGATTGTAAGAAAAATAAAAGGAATGACAAATTGCTGCTTCGCGGCAATGAAGTTTAAGGGTCGATCCACTTTATTCAAATTTCTCCGCAAGTTTGCTTCCCACATGGTGATCGAGAGTCGTTTTCCTGTTGCAATAAAAAGGCTTCATTTCAACTCTCCTTTGGGCCAATTCTGTTGGGAAATCTGATTTAAAAGTTTTCTCTTATTCGAGTGTATTAATCGAAATTGCATTTATTACTGAAAGGGGGCAGAAAGTACATTTTATGGACGGTTTTGTAAACATTTCCAGAATAAAGAATTTTGCGCTAAGTATGAGAATAGGGTAGTTAGAAGGGATGATTCCTGTTAAAAAGTTGTATATCAATTGTATAAGAAATCTTTGAAGCTAATAAAATTGAAAGGCTTTTCAATAAACCATCTCGGGGAATTTGATTATCAGATTGTGCATTCATCTCGTTTCTCGTGCTAATTTTACACATCAATCCAAAGCATTCCAAATAATAAAAAATATTAATGGCATCGATGGCATGTGCTATATATGTTCTAGCTTTTAACGTTCACAATATAGCACACTTGAAGTTTATGTTTCGATTCGTAGATTGATAGATTACGATGGACATGAACATGGCCATGTTTAATGTGTCCAAACCCAGTCACTACTTAGTTTTAGTTTTTCCACTATTTTCTCTGACTTTTAAACGGATTTCTGTTTCTTTTTCGTTTTGTAGATATTTATTCACATCTATAATCAAATAAATTGATTCTCATTGATATGTTAATACTAAAGGCAGAAGAAAAGAAAAGTTTGTAAAATTCACAAATGTACAAGTAACGATGAGAAAAGAAAAGAATGAGTACCAATAAATGAAGGAAACCCGTAAATGGAAGGAAACAATAACAGAAGAATCGGTGAATTCATAAAAATGGGGGAAATATGAAAACAATTGAGTGATGAGCTGTGTTTTTGGGAGTTGGATGTGAAAATTGGGAACCTCTTCTTCAAAACGGTACTTTTCCTTTGCGGTTACGGTAGCTTTGATCACGTTTTGGCTCCGTGATATAAGATTCATTCCAATTCCCCTTTTGGTGAAAATCTGATTTCTCTTATTTGTGTGTGTTAATCTGAAAATTGCATTTATTACTGAGAGGCGGCAGAAAGTACGTTTTATGGACTATTTTGTAGAAATTTCAATGCTCTATTTTGATAAATCCTTGATTCATTCGTAGAAAAATAAAAAAGTAGTGGCATAAAGAAAGATAGAATTCAAAAACTGGACTAGTAAAATAAAAAGTCTGCAAATTGGAAAATCGTGAAGACCACGGTTAGGATACAGAGCAATAAGCATTTTTTCTTTTTCTTTCTCTTTCTATCTTCAGTTCGTTAAACGCAAGCCATTTTGTTTTTGGATTTCCTTTGGATTTCTCAATTAAGCGGATGAGGAGATCATCCCCACTACCCTTCTTGAACAAAGCATAGACCCTCTCATTCAAATTTGACTCTTGAAAGTATTCTCTTAATACTCCAACATCAATGTGATGAAGTTTCATCTCAAAATCCAATCCAGGAATACTTTCCCCATTTACATAATTATTTGGATGATCCAAGAGAATCAAAAATGGAATATCTAAGAGATTTCGACAGCAAAGAAATAGAAATGGGTGTCTCATGGAAGTAAAAGTCAGACCTCCTCTAGATTCTATAAAATTCATGTAATTGTCCAGAAACAAAACCTCATTTTCCGTGATTTCACCACATACTGGAATGTGCAATTCTTTAGGTAAGTCTGACCATCCTTGCAGTCTTTTTTAAACCATCAATTTTTCTCACCCCATCCATTTGACATTTTCCTGAATGATTCTTTTGACAAATTGGACGAGGAGGATTTCTTAATTGGAATATGTAGTGGGGGAAGGGATAGGGCTGATAGGATCTTTCATATTCAGATGATTCATCGAGAAGTGATTCAATATTAAAAGGAGCCTTATTTTTCTCCGAATCTTCTATTGGAATCAGATATTTCAAATTTAATTTGATGATATTCTCCCATTTTTCTTGTTGTTTTTCAAATACATCAATTATTCGTGCAAGGGGCAGTCGTTTGTAATGGGAGAAATGAAGCATTTCATGTTTTTGGTCTTCATTTTCAATTTCATAGCTCCCGATTTCGGTTTTTGAACTGTCTACCCATTTTCCTGGTATTTGTTTCCATGAACTGAAGTCTTCACTTACAAACTGATTCCTTTTTATATGAATCCATCCCTCACCAGTCAATTGAGAAATAAAACATCGAAAATAGAAATTTGTCGTGTATTTCCCTCTTTTTATGTTTTTCAAACTGTGAATCTGATCCTCACACGACCACCAATTTCCAAAACCTAATATCCAAATCTCCTCGTGACTTTTAAGCCTTTCAAAAGTATTGTTTTCTCTCCAGAGCTGTTTATGAAAATCTCCCAAAACAAACAATTCAAATAATTCATAAATATCCTTTTCGTGTAGATTTCCTTTCTCTTCTTCTATCCTCAATATTTGCCCAATCACATAACGAGCATCTTTGAATGTCTGAGTTTCTTCTTTTAATCTTGAAACAATATTTGGTGCTTTTTCGTAGAATTCCTCTCTTTCAACAGAATTTAGTGTTTCGAGTTTATCTCGCATTATTCTGGGGATATTTTCGAAGACCCATATGCCATCCTCATCGAATCTCTTTTCATATTTTCTTTCTTCAGGTCCAACCATAACCCCTTCTATTCTATCATCAAATCCAATTGGTTTCATCAGTTCCTTTTGGTTTTTATCTTCTGTGGGCATGAAAGGGAGTGAAGAGATGAATTGATTTGCCTAATTTATTATATTTGAGAAGTATGAAATTTCAACAAAAAGGAAACCCACTAAACTATTGGGTCGGGAAGTATGCACATTGCCATTTACTCCTAGTTACTCATTTAAAATAACCTCTAAAATAACTAGAATTTTCGTGGTTTATGTAGAATTCTTAGGACTACCATATCTCCGGACAAACATCTCCAAAATAAGTTGCCTCTCAGCGTGAGCTGCCTAAACGCCCATTATCTGGCATACAGCCGGCTATGTTTGGTTCAATTACTTAAGTATGAAATGTATTTCTACAAATTAGCTCGCTTTTTTGCAGTATTTTCCTCGTTGTTTGAACTACGAAATTTCCCTTTACTCCTATTTACCTATTTGACCATTAAAATAGATAGAACAGAAACCAAAGATAGCTATACCAGTGGGCGTTTAGGCAGCATTCACTCAGATAACGCTTATTTTGGAGATGTTTGTCCGCAGGTCGGCGTGAAAATCATCACCAAGAAGTGCTTTTCTAATTGTTTTAAACATGGATTTTGCTGAAATTTCAAGTTTAACTAGTTTAAAGTTTCTCCTAAATATTTTGACCGAAGGAAGAACTTTTGTGGTGGAACACGGATTTACACAAGTCAACTTCAATCCGGCCGTTCTCAGCTATTTTTTCACAAAAGATTTTCAAACCTTAATACTTGGCAGTTCTGGGAATTCTTCACAAACCATTAAAATTCTAGTTTCTTTTATGGTAAAATAGGTGAAAGGAAATTCTTTCCAACTCAAAATAATAGTAAACGAGAAAATCGACTTCTTTTAGAAAAGCTTACTTTCTGCGTTTGAGCAAGGAAATCCAAGACTTCAGAAGCTGTTGGACGATGAATACGTTGAAAATTGATACATCTGATAGATGGATTCTTAGAAAATCAAAGAAAATCTGGATGATTTTCTTTGATTTTCTGACATGACAAACCTCGAGATGATTTTTTGAATTTCTGATTGACATTCAGGTGATTCGATTTCAGTAACACGTTTGAATGCAATATCAAACAATAATTGCTCCCGATCAAACACTCCATACATCTCATAGTTTGTGAAAATGGTTCTAAAACAATAAAGATGTTGTTTTGAAAGCTTATTATTATCTCAAAGGAGGTCAAAATATTCTTTTGAAGTCTTTTTTGATATCTGAAATAAGGTCAAAATGTTAATATGAATACCTCCTTTCGATGATTTCCCACATAACAAGTCCCAGACTGTAGACATCATTTCGATGGGAATTCTGGATTCAATTTATCTTATTATTGAATAGAAAAGAATGTGAAACTAACCGATACATCAACTTCTATCACTTGTTCATAAACATCTCGTTGTACCCCATCATCCTTCATATCAGGTGGACTCATATATCGTGGCGTTCCAATAAACGTCCCCGT